CCCGCTAGTATAATATAAAGATATTTTAAAAGTATATTCATTTTCGAGCTTTCGAGCCAAACTCAGACTCATCAAATATTTAATTGAACCAAACTTGATCCATAAAATAGAGTTTGAGTCAAACTTGAACTTAAACTCAAGCCTAATAATGGTATAGTCAAACCGTTGGCTCAATTGCACCCCTAGTTTCTTTTAACTCATATGAAGTCCTTGGTTATGCTTCCAGGATATTGCAAGACATGCACTAGTTGGAAGCACTAAAGATCCCTCGACAAGGGGTACTAAGTATTGCTAGAACCCTAATTGCTATCAATGATGCTCCTTATGTATGTTTTGCTCAAGCTTGGATAGATGGAAACTTTTTTAGTCAATGGTCATGCTGGTTTTGGTATTTGGACTATAGGTTTTGATGCACTCACCTGCTGTTAGTGCATCGTTAATGTTTCTTAACAGAAATGGCCATGTCAGCATAAATAACAATTTTCATGACCAAATTACCCTTGAATGGTGAGTTAGAGGAAAAGGGTCATTTAGGTTAGGGTTAGACCGAAATTCTCTCTCTCTCTCTCTCTCTAGCTGCTCTGTTTTGCCTCTCTCGCTCAAATCTGGCCACTGCACCAACTACTCTCGCTTAGATCTTGAAGGTAGTCGTTGCATCACCCTCTCTCTTGCTCAGATATTGTTGTCGCCATAGCACATTCTCTCTCGTTCTTGAAGGTAGCCACACCACCCTCTCTCTTGCTCAGATCTTGCAGCCATCATACCACCCTCTTTGGATCTTGTCGTCGTTGTAGCACCTTCTCTCTCACTTAGATCTTGAAGATAGCCATTGCACCCCCCCCCTCTCTCTCTCGTTTGAAGGTCGATGCTGCACAAATCTACTATTTGTAGATCTATTGGTTTGAAGATTTGAAAGAAGACGATGTTTTGAAACATTTGCAATGCATTCTTTTGAATCTAGAATGTAAATCCCCATCGAGGGTTCTACAAATTTATGCAAAAAAATTATTTTTGTAAATTTTTATTTGATTGTCTGAAATATTTTTTGAAAATTTGTTGTAATAATCTTTGGATTCAATGTCTACTTTTTTTTTTGAAAAATTTTATCATTTTATTAGTTTGTTTGTAATTTTTTATTTTTTTAAATATATAGTTTAAAAAATATCATTTTTTTAATTTTTGTTTTTTTAGTCTGTATTTTTATATTTTTATCATTTTATGTATTTTTGTGTAGGTTTTTATTATCTTTTTTGAAAATTTTATCACTTTCTTGTGTATTGTACAGTTTTTTACTTTTTTTCTATAATATATAATTTTTGAATTTTTATCATCTTATGTATATTTGCAATTTCTGTTTTTATCCAATCTTTATATTTTTTGAGTTTTTTTTTTGTCTTTTTCAGTTTTCATTTTTCTTGTTTTTTTTTTGCAATTTTAGTGTTTTATTATAATTTCAAATGTTTTTTTTCACAATTTTTGTTTTTTTTACATTTTCTATTTTCTACATTCTATAAATTTTTCTGTATTTTTTGTTATTTATTTGCAATTTCTATATTTTTTCTATAATTTTAGGCATTTTATCTACAATTCTTATTTTCTAATTTTGTTTTTCAATTTCTATAGTTTTTTTTTTATTTTTCGTAATTTACGTGTTTTTATGTATTTTATATTTGAAAATATTTTTTCAACATTTTCCTTTTTTCATGTTTTTGTAGTTAAAATATTAAAATATATAGGTACATATTTTATATTTTTCTATGAAGGGTAAAATGGTAATATATTAACTCCCGTTAGTCTGTTTAACGTAAAGTTAGTGACATGGTGAGTTTTAGGCTTTATGAAAAGTTACGTTAAATTAAAAAAATGCTAAAAACTCATGGTAAATTTTAGACAATTTCCCTAAAAAATAAAGAAATTTCAAAAGATCTATTTTTTTTAATTTATATATATAATATATAATATAAATATAAAAATTAAATTTCCCAATTATAAGTCATAGAAATATATTTATCACTTATAAACATTATATAATTATTCATAATATCAATAAATACATAATTATAGTATATATTCCAGCATTAACGCGGAATCGAATCCCGCAACCAGCACTTTGGGGGTTATCAATGATGCATGGCACCGAATACAAAAAAAGGATCTTGTTATAACTTATAAGTTATAACATCTAATCCGGAATAAATCGGATTCGGAGTCGAATCAGTTACTGGACTTCCAAGTCCATTGAAGCATTGACAGCCCTACCGCCGCCCTTGACTCTTCTCTGTATCATAGTCGATTCCTGTGTGTTATTGAATCGCCGGTTTACCATCGTAGTCTGTTAAACTTGAATCGCCGGTTCGCCACTAGGTTTTCAGGGTTTTGCGCAGAAAGAGAAGCGCACTTCTGAAACTTCTTCTTCTGGATTCCATGGCGTCTTCTCCGACAAAACGCCGCCGTAAAAGCCAGAGTGAAAACGATTCAATCGACGCTTATCTACAAAAGAGCTCGCCTATCGTGGTCTTCGCTCACAGCTGTGGATCTCCCTCCACTTCAGATTTTATGATAAAGTATTTATTCTTTCTCTCCACCGGTTCACTATCAAATGGATTTACTATTAGTCGGATTGTATTGGTCAAACTAGATATCGTTTTTACGCCTGTAGTTTGTTAGCTCTTTGTTTTTTTTATGAAACTTCAGTCGTGGAAAAATGGATATTGAATTCAGTCGAAGAAATAGCGTCATTTGGTTGTAATTTTCATCCTCAGTATTTAATTCTCAAGCTAAGAAATAGCGTCATCTATGCAGATGGAGGAACATGCTACGTAAGGCGTTGCATGCTGTCGAAGTAATTACTTTTGACTACCCTTGTGAGTTTATTTACCTATAAACATCTATTTTAGTTTGTTTTAGAATCTTTTTCTGTGTATGTTTGCTTTTGTTTTTTGTTTTTTACCAGCCTTAGGGTTGAACTGTATTCCCCAAACCAAGTATGTCATGTTTAGTAGTCTAATTTAGTATACTTATACATCAGAAGGGCTTATGTTGGAGATTGCTATCTTTCTGTTATAAACTTGTGGCAGATATCCATGGCGCGAAATGGAAGACACCTCCTCCTAAGGCAGAGGAATTAGTTGACTATCACTTGGATGTTGTAAAAAAGGCTGTGTCAAAACATCCCAACCATCCGCTGATTTTGGCAGGAAAATCAATGGGCTCAAGGTATTAGCCATCTTGCCGTTTACAATGCTGCAGCTGAAGGGATCCTGTATGCTGACTGTGCTTTTAAAGTTTTAATACATTATTTTGTGTGGCTTTCTATCTGTCTCTTGGTTTTATTTGCAGAGTGAGCTGCATGGTAGCATGTAATGAAGACATCAATGTTTCAGCAATAGTTTGCTTGGGCTACCCGTTGAAGGTTTGCAATCTAATGTGATTTTTCTTTTGTGTTTTTGGTGTTCTAGCTATGCTATTTTTCACCAGCCATGGTTGATACAAGGATTATCAAGTATGAACATGTCGTGGAACTGAAAACTTACGCCATATATTTTAATATCTTAATATAGAAAATCAATGTTTACCAAAACATTTCTACCTCATGTAGTTTGCCTTCAAATTTCTCACCAAATAATCTTGGAGCAATGCCTTAGTAGAACTATTTTTTTTTCTTTTTGAAAAAGATAAAGTATAAGTTCATTAACAAAAAGCAGCACCCATGTGCAACAAGAGACTGTACATTGGGATAATATACAAGGAACATATTACCTTGTGCTGGAGTTGACATTTCCCTACTGTCAACCACATTTTAGATTCTCCCTAAAGGGACTGTAAAAAGAGGTCTTAAAAAGACTGTATATCTCTGCTGGTGGATTCCCCCTTACTCCAAGGAGAGAAAAATACACCTAAATACTAGTGAAAAAGGAGTAAAAGGCAAGCAAATGATGAGTAGTTTTGTAAGCATTTCTTACAGAGGATACATCCACGGGGAGGAAGGGAATACTGCAGCGTCCATCTTTTATGCCTTGATGGAAATTCTCAGATGTGCAATACACCCCTACAAGGATTATTTCTTCTTCTGGATTGATTTGATTAGACGCTAAGGCCCCGTTCACTTTTTGGTACGTTACTTACCCGGGTAAATGCAATTACCTGGGTAAGTTTTTCCTGAGAAACACTTATCCAGGTAAGTGCATTTACCCATGTTCTTTTATTTCCCAGGTAAATAAGGCAATGCCCATTTGAGCCATAGAAATCCGTTATTAAAAGGGGCATTTTGTCCCATTCAAGTGTTGGCAACTTTCCCCCATGTGAGAAAGCTATTTACCCACCTAGGAGATGGGTATCACTTAGGTAAGTGATACCCAAGAAAATAAACTTTCCCTGGTCCCCACATAAAGCTGAAATGGTCAATGGGAACCAAAATCCCATTGACCAACTTTCCCCCTCTCCAAATCCAAAAAAAGAACGTCTCCTAAAGGAGATGTACCTTGATTTTTCTTTTGATGGAAAGTACTTGTAGATAATAATTGAATTAAAGGTATTACTAGGTTTCTTCAATAGGAATGTTTGTTTCTTTTTTCCTTTTATATTTTATTTGTAATCTGCAGGGAAAGAGGGGTGGGGAGATATTGGAATCCTAAATAGAGATTAGAAGAAAAAACATTTCATTTTCTTTCATATTTTTGGGGATCCTAATAATGAGAAGAGTCAAGTGGAAAAGATTTTTGTTTTTTTTTTTTTCTGGGAAACCATGCAAATAGGTTTAATACATTTTTAAAGCTTAGGGAAATAAATATTTTATTTATTTTTTTCCAAGGGGCTACTAAATTTTCTTGAAAACTTTTTTTGGGGTGATATTAAGATTTTACATTTATATTTATATTTGTGAAGGGCATTTAAATAAACCCAACTTGACCTCCCATAATTTTGGGTGTTCCCTCACTCCCCTGGCTTCATTCCTGCCCATACTGTCAAATAATGGGAATTGTTATAAAATTCAGTTAACCAATACAGTGACCATGGCCGTTTTTTCAATCACATGGCTCCCCAAAATGTCACTAAAAATTTTAACTATAATAGTCTAAACTCTTCATGCAGTGGGAATAAGACCAATTTCTGATTCTTGGGTGGAGAGTTGATTATTTCCTACTCCCAGCATGCTGTATTCCTCGTTGTGTAGGCTTTCTCTGATACTAGTAAAATACCTAGTTCTTATTGGAGTTGTATTTTGTTCCAGGGTAAAAATGGAACTTTGCGAGATGAGACATTGTTGCAACTCAAGATTCCTGTCATCTTTGTACAGGTAAAAGTTACGTTTGTTTGTGCATTTTTTCAAGTTATACAAGCAGCCATTATGCCCTATAGTTTTCCTATGATAGGTCTTTCTGGCGTGTATGCATGTGAATGGTGCTTCCATCCCATGATGCCTCCTGCCAATACCCTATGGCTTGGTGGTTGCAGAACTCCTCCAGGGTCACTTCCCAAGTGGTGGTACCAATGAGAACAATCTTAGATTTCTAAGTAGATTGCTCATTACTGGAGGTTCTATACAGTTCGGTGGTAACAGAAAGGGTTGCCCTTTCTTTACTTAAAGTGAAAAATATGTAATATCCAACACACCAGAATTCTGCCCTTACTGGATTATGATCATATAGTATATTACCTTCTTATCCTTCATGTACGATACATGCACTAAACCAACAACTTTGTATATCAGAAAATAATATCATTAACTGACTCGTGGAGTCCAAGATTTCTATGCACTCTGTTATTTAAGACTGCATTTGGCAACCTGCATGTGTGCCTCGTGTTTCCCTGGGTTGCTGACAGGACATCCTCACATACTAATGTGTTTTTAGAAAAATTATTATTCCTCACTAGCATTCATTTTATTGGATGACACAGCACTGCAGTTGAATAATTAATTTTCTTTTCCTTCTCTCATCTATTTCTACTTACATGATATGCTTGTTTGATGAAGGGTAGCAAAGATGGGAACTGTCCACTAGATAAGCTTGCTGTAGTTCGAAAGAAGATGAAATCTGCCAATGACTTGCATGTGATTGATGGTGGAGATCACTCCTTCAGGATTGGAAAGAAGCACCTGGAGTTGCACCACTCAACCCAAGATGAAGCCGAGGATCAGGCAGTCAAGGCAATTGCAATGTTTATTGGTAAAACTCTGAAGGTAAGGTGATATTCTGTCCATGGGAGGAATGTGCTGTATTTTGTATCACTTGGCTCTTTTTTTTTTTTATTTAGTAGCGTGTTTTCTCTGTATGTATTTTTATGAATCATCTCCAAGTGTTATGCTGTATCAATGCTGAGTGAATCTGCTATTAGTCAAGTGCAACCATTTCTTCTTTGTTCTGTTTTCTTACCCTACCTAGCACAAGAAACATATAGTTGAATAGGATTAGGAATGGGGTGATTGTTCATAGCTGGCCTGTCCAGCCCATAAATTTTTAGCCCTGGGGCTGAGCCCAAAACATCTAGGTCTGGTAGACACAGACCCATATATATGAAAGAATGTGCCGGTTCTTTTAAATGTGATAGAGATATGGAAGAGAGAATATTCCAGTGTGTTTATTGTAGAGAAAATAGGAGAAAACAAACATATGAAAGGATTTGGCATTGATATGGAGGAAAAAAATGTAAAAGTATTTTAATTATAGAGAAATGAGAAAAAAAAGAAAGGGCAGACACCTTATTCTAGTAAGAGAGTTAGAAGAAAACAAAGGAGTGATTTAAAGAAAAGAACAAAATATGAGACGAAACCCATTTTATTGGCTATCTAAGTTGAACATTGGACTGTTATGATGTCCTTTTACATTCCATAAACACCATGGTCACAATTAGAAAGATAGAAAGGAGTAATTAAAGGGGATTTAAAGAAAACCCCATTTTATTGGCTCTCTAAGTTGAAAATTGGTCTTTTTATGATGTCCTTTTCCATCCCTTTACCTTGTTTATACAATATGATATGGTTTAACTGCACTATACATTAAATTATTGCATCTCCCATATGGAAACACCATGGCAATGTACAAGGCGATTCCAGAAAAATGCCTTGTCACCTAGGCATCACTCTAAAGACTATGTTGGGAATATGTGTGGTTTGAGACCAGTGTTTTAAAACGTGGAGGTGTGGCGTGAGGCGTTCCACTACTTGGAGGTGTGAGGCGTAAGCCTCAAGTTTGTATTTTTTTTTAATTATAGTGGGTATATTAATAAAAAATAGATATTTTAAGCATAAAAACATATATAACACTAAAATGACTTAATTTCAATCAATATTTGAGTTCTAAATCTCAACTTTTCAACACCAACTAACAATATAACATAGTGAAAATGTGAAATACAATTCTTGATTCAAGTATGCAACATAGATCACAAAAAAAAAAAAGAAACAAAAAACTATAAGGACTGAAACTCAGTCAAAAGACTTTAAATCATCTTCCTCTAGAATAACAAAGGCATCATCATCTGCTTCAAGAGTTGCATCCACATCATATGGTTCATTTCTCTCTATTTCATCATCTTCATCCTCATCAATCAAATTTAGTTCAGCACTCTTGCCTCTCCTTGTCCCTACAAACAAAATCCATTTGTAATTATCACCTCACTCAATAATCCTCAACTAGAAAATTAATTGGATCACTAGAAGAATAGAATCAATCAATATACACTAATTATTACTTACTTTGAGATTTAGTAGCTTGAGCCTTTTGATTTCTACGATCAAATGTCTTGTTGCCACTATCACTTGAGCCCCTCTTTCTTCCACTTGATCATTCTTTGTTGGTAGGGGCTGTTACCTCTACTAAATTTGTATCTGCATCTTCAACCACCTCAACTGTGACAATTTCAAGGCCCAAAAAGTCATTATCCACCCAAGAAGGATTAGTTGGAAGAACTGGATCCTCAATTTCAGTAGTCCATTCATCATCCTCTTCCACATGTTGTGTCAAAATGGGATCAATACTTGCACTTGCCCTCCTTTTCATGTTTCTTTCCCTCAACTTCATATTATATATCGCAAAAACTAAAGCATTTAACCTTTGTTGCTCCAATTTGTTTCTCTTTTTTGTGTGTATCTAGTACAAAGACAAAATATATATTATTAATAACATTGTCAAAACACAACTATTACATAAAAACCTAAAAAGTAAATAAGAAAATAAATAATAACCTGCTCGAAGGTGCTCCAATTTCTTTCACAACCGGAAGCACTACATGTAAGACTCATAACTCGAATAGAAAATTTTGTTAATTCTGGTGTTTGGGTTCCAAACCGTGCCCACCAATCAGCTACAAAAATATCATTTAACAAGACATTAGTAAAGCTTTAAAATATCCAAAAATAGAATTGTGCATAGTTGCATACTAATTATCAAACAAATAAACCACTTACTAGGAGATCGCCTCTTCCTCGTATCAATTGCCATGTCACAACCAAAATCTCTTAGTGCTTTATCATACATATCCAATTGGCAATCTGCTAGGGCATGCTCGTGCCTATCAGGAATCATCCTTTTCATGCATTCAAATAATCCCTCTCTTATTTCACGATCATTCAAAAAATTTGGTTCATAGTGTAGTTGTGGGTTTAAATAATAACCTATTGCATGAAGGGGGAAATGAAGTTGAGGGGTCCATCTTTCATCAATCTTATTCCAAATAGGCATATGGTTTCTCTTTATTCCACTACAAGCAAATACAATTTGCTCTTTTGCTGAATCCATTATTTCATATAAATAAGGCATTGAGGGTCTTACTTTAGAATCAACTTCTCTCAACACTGCAACAATTGGCAAAGTGGTCTTTACACAAAATGCCACCTGTGGCCAAAATCTGCTATCAAACATTATAGTTTGTTTTGCCTTGACACCCTCAGGATGCTTACTCCTATGGCTTCCATTCCACTTTTCAGAAGCAAACATTGATTGAAGAGGTTGCTTCTATTTATAAATGCTTTGCAATGTCAAGTAAGCAGTGGCAAACCGAGTAATTGCTGGACGTAAAAGCTCTCGGTTTTTTGTGAAACTCCTCATTAAGTTTAAAACCCATCCATGGCGGTAAATAAATTTTGTGGCCTGCTTTGCCTTCTCAATTGTTTCATTAAAAATTTTCATCTTCCCAATGGACTTTAACATTAAATCTATACAATGTGTAGCCATGGTTCAAAGTATCGATACGATACGCCCGATACGGGGCGTATCGTATCGTATCTTTTGAAAACGATACAGTTCGAAACGCCTTCTTCCAGGTGTTTCAGACCCCCAATTTTTTTAACAATAAAAAACTCATTTTAAGTTTCCTAAAAAACCAAACTTTGAAAAAAAAACTAAAAAAAAATATATGTTTCGACCATTTCTAAGTACCGATACGATATGACCGAAATGCGTATCGTATCGATTCTTTGAACCTTGTGTGCAGCACAAGGAGTCCAATACAATTTTTTCATCTTTTCCATCAACTTTTTTCCAGCAAGCACATAACTTGAATGATTATCTGTGATTACTTGAACCACCTTATCCTCTCCTACTTCAACAACATCATCAAGATATTTAAAAAGAAGCTCACCATCTTTAATTGAATCTGATGCATCAATAGATTTCAAAAACATTGTCCCACTTGGACTATTAACAAGAAAATTGATAATGGACCTATTTTTTCCATTAGTCCATCCATTAGACATAATCGTGCAACCATAGTCCTTCTATGATTTTCTATACTTCATCAATTTATCTATATTCTCCACTTCTTCTTTCAAGATCCTAGTGCGAAGATCATGCATGGATGGAGGCTTATAACCTAGACCAAAATTTGCAATTGCCTCACACATACTCTTGAAATAAGGACTATTTGTCATGTTAAAAGACAATGCATTGGCATAAAAGCATCTTCCAATAGACCTATCAACATCTTTTTTTTTTTTTTTTTATCTTTTTTCCATTATGAATTTAAAGTTCGTTGGCGTGGCTCAGATGAAACAAATTGATCCATTGGGCCTGCTGGTCGTGGTGAAAATGATTGTGGAGTGACTGGAGTCCCACTTTCACTCTGGCTTCCACTTCCACTTCCCACAATAGACTCATCAAATCTAGGATTAGGAGCTATACAACTCCCATGTTGAGAAGTCATAGGTGTACAATTAAACCTCCCAACACTAGCCACAAAATCAGACTTTTTCTCCACCTTAAATTCGGTAAGTGCATTTCGACATCTTAATTTTACCTCTTCAGGGCATTATTTGCACACACTCATTCCATGTTTAGTACTAGCCAAATGATGTTTTAATCAGTTTATGCCTCCTGTGCACAATTTACTACAAAATGCACAGTAAATGTAACCTTTTTCCCATCCTCTTCTTTAACTTATTCCCAAGCAAAATCCTTTCTAGACATTCTAGGTTCTTGATGAAATAGGGATCAAAGAGATCAAAATATCAAATTGCAGCACCTAATTAAATAAAAAAAGAGTATTAGTTAAAATTCACAAATTATAATTTCTATCATTTAATTCAGATTTCTACTTTCTATAAGACTATAAGCATTCAGTTTCTACAATTCACAAGCAAAATCAATAAATCATTTATCAAATTCAAAAGAAGCAAAATCAATAAATGGCTGAATTGATGAAGCTACAGCCAACAGTTGGGTCTTGGGCCTCTTGGCCTATTCGGATGTGTTCAAAAAAAAAAAAAAAAAGAAAAGAAAAAAATAGGAAGAACAGAATCAACAAATTACATAATTTATTCATGCAGCTTTGTTCAAGAAGGCTGAAACAAAACTACTAAAATCAAGAAAAAAAAAGAAACAAATAAACAAAGAAACAACAGAATACAGAAATGAAGAACATGACTATTAAGTACTAAGTTACTAACCGTTGAAGCTTATTTCCAAAAAAAAAAACCGTTGCAGCTTTGTCACAGGTTCACAGCCGCCCAGGTTGGTCGGTTACTTGGTTGGCCCAGCAGCAACCTCTCTTCAATAGTTCGATTGCAAGTGAAAATAGAATAAAAAAATAAGATCACATCTGAGAAATTTCAGGTTGCTCGAAGAAGAAGAAGTTGCAGGTTGCAAAGTGCAAAAGAAAGAAAGAAGTTGCCGCCTTGCAGGTTGCTCGAAGTTGTTGCAAAGTGCGAAAGAAGAAGAAGAAAGGAAAAGAAAAAAAAACACATAC